CTGCTGACACCATGCCACCTCCAGCTGCTGACACCATGCCACCTCCAACTGCAACACAGTGCCACCTCCAGCTGCTGACACCATGCCACCTCCAACTGCTGACACCCTGCCACCTCCAACTGCTGACATCATGCCACCTCTAACTTTGACATTGTGACCCCTCGAGCTGCTGACACCATGCCACTTCCAACTGCGGACACCGTGCCACCTCCAGCTGCTGACACCATGCCACCTCCAACTGCAGACACCATGCCACCTCCAGCTTCTGACACCATGCCACCTCTAACTGTAACACTGTGACCCCTCCAGCTGCTAATGATGTGCTATCCCAGACTCCCTTTTATAAGAACTGCATGTTTCTTGTGGTAATCTTGAAACAAAATTTTGTCTAGTTAGAAATTGTGAATGTGTTGTACAATTGTAAAACCATTTTCTAAAACCTTTTAACATAAATTATAATGGTGCTATATTATACACAGAGTTCAAGGGTGCATTGAATGGCAAAAAAGTCCATGTTTTGCTATCAAAAATAGGACTATATAAACTGTATTTTTTTATTTTTTTATTTATTATTATAGAGAGGATAGGGACATAGACCATACCAAGAGCTTGAAAGTGAGTTAGGTCTTTATTTACTAAAATTAGTTAAGTTAAAGTGATCTAATTAATTTTTTCTAAAATATATTCTTGATTTTCAATATTTTGCTAAATCTGCCTTAATAAACAAACCCTATTTGTTCCCTAGCTACTTAATGCATACATTTGTTGAAATCAGGTCTCTCTTGTAAATGAGTCCTCGAGGCTCAATGGGATTTACCTGTATAAATAAAGGTTGAATGAATGAAACATAGCCAATATAGTTTAAAAAAAATAAATAAACTTGGAAGGAAACAATAAATCTCTGCACATTGACTGTTTTGAGTGGGAAGATCTTCAAGATTCAAGGTAAAGAATGAAAAAGTTATATTATAGTTTTGTGTTTGCTGTTTCTAAAGTGTTTTACAATAAACTTAATAACCATACACATGTTGTAAGTATGTAATTTAATTTTTTGTTTGTTTATTTTGTGTGACCAACATCAGCACTATATTAATGTGCATCTCAAAAAATTAGAATATCATTCTAAGTTCAATTTTTTTGTCAGTCATTTCAGAAAATGAAACTCTTTTATTACATAGATTCATTACACATAGAGTGAAATATTTCCTCTTTGAATGTCCACTTTTCAGATGAAAGTAAAATTTCATTTAATTTATAAATCAGGATCTCGAGAGTCTGGAGGACGAGTGGAGAAGCCCAGAATCCACATTGCTTGAAGTCCATAATGATGATTTGGGTCCATATCCTCTGCTGCTGTTGGTCTACTATGTTTTCTGAAGTCCACAGTTCACGCATCATCTACCAGGGCATTTTAGAGTTATTCATACTTCTTTCTGCTGACGAGCTTTATGGAGATGCTGATTTAATTTTCCAGCAGGACTTGGCTCCTACCCACACTGACAAAGGTACCAGAAAATGGCTGTGGAATATTCTAATTTACAGAGGCACCGAGTTTTATTTTTCATTATTTGTAAGCCACAATCATCAAACCAACATTTTTCAGTCAGGTCATCTGGATAGTTTTGTTTTGTTTTTTGTGCTGAAATGTTTCGCCTTCGATCCGGAAGGTTTCATCAGTCAAGGAAACACACAACACAAAACTAATTCTTCCCCCAGCAGCTTACTCCAAAGTGGAACAAACCAGTTATGTTGGTGCTAAGATGGTCTCTTTGGCACGCTCCCTCCTCCATTGCCGGCCCTCTTCCTTGTCGACAGTCGTGTTCTAACGAAATGCACCTGCTGCTGTCATATCCTGCGACCGCATATGTTTCAGTAATGATGTCATTGGTCAAATGGAAGATTTTATTTATTAAAGGAAGTAAAAAGTCACCAGAAAGTTTGGTTTAAATATCTACTTTCTATCATTAACTTTACAGCTGTCATATAAACAGTAGGCTGCTTCAAAGTACAGTACCTCATTATGTCAGTGTAAAAAAAAAAAAGTCAACAAAAAATTTTGTTCTGAAAAGTTTAATAACAAACAGTAAACTTCTTTTTATTTCCAGAATGACTTGTGATCATTGCATCTATTCCTCCCACACGAGACAATATAAAAGCATTTATTATGCGTGAGAATCTGCAAACATTTCTCTTGATTTAACAGAACATGTGGCTTTCAGCCGCTAAATATACTCCATTAAATCAGCATGCACTGCTACTGTTCATCTCTTATTTTATAAAAGGTGATTTCAAGCAGTATTTTTATTTTCATTTTTACAAACGCCTGAACTTACGCTTTCAGCGTAGCGTGCTCTTCTTTGAGGAGTGACGCAGAAACGCAACAGCGCCTCCTACAGTCACATCAGAGAATCTGGCGTAACTGGCACGTCGCTGAAATGAATCGAGGGGGATGGGACGTTTTTCTTTCCTGCTCATTTCCAATGAGAGCTGAGATTGGATGCATAAAGGAGGCGGTTGACTTCCCACTTTAGTGGCTGGTCACAGCAGGCGGGGCTCCGTGGATGCGTTTGACAGCTGCGAGGTAGAAAAATGTGCAGCGCGTACAGAAGGCATGCCGCTCCAAGCGTCACAGCACAGCGGATAGGATGGTTATTACCCTTTATAGCCAACGTTTGACCAACTTTTGAGAGCAGGAAACTCTAATACAATTAGCCTGTTCTTCGCACTTTTACTTTTTTTTTTTCTAGGTGCGGGATGAAGTGCGCGTTTTCGTCTCCAGCGTCCACGGAGCGCAGTGGAGCCAAGGAGCGCCTGGAGGCGAGTCTGGCCGGCCTGTGTGAGCTGGAGCTCCGCAGGCAGAGGCAGGAGTGCCTTGTTTTGGGAGCGCTGGCTCTGGGGGCCCCTCTGACCCCGGATGGCTCCAGAGGAGGGCTGGGGTGCTTCAGCAACTGGAGCCAGGAAAACTTGACGCTGAGGCGTCAGCTGGTAAGAAGGTTTGCTCTGTACGAGCCAGACCTTTATTATTCCCTGTCTTCCCCCTCCCCAGCCCTGTCACCCTCTGGTTTTATTTAGAAAATTATTATTTTTAATTATTTTCTATTTGCCTGCAGCCAATCATTGTGATGTGTGTGACCGTTCCTCCTGCTTTGGGCTGAGTCTTTTGCTGTTCAGATGACCTCTAGCTGCGAGAAAGTTACTCAACTTGATTAATAGCGTCTTTGTGTGAAAGGCTCTAATGGTTTCTGTGCTTTAGGTTGAGATTTATGCGTGTGGAGAGATGGAATCAGGGGGAGGAGCGGGCGCCGCTTGTAGCCAAGTCTCTATTTAATGGCCTATTGTTCTCGAGGAGGACTGCAAGGTTTCACCTATGAACAAGCTCTCGTTTGTCTTTTCCGCCCATCATAAGCTAATGAATTTCGAGAGAAAGCTCAAGCAAACTTGTGCTGAACGTGGAGCGTTTGTTGAGAATGACTTAGCTACTAACAGATCACATTTTAACTCAGTTTCTGTCCAACTGACTGAGCTAGAGCCATTCATGTTTAGACCAGTGTGGATTAACTGTGGAGGCAAACTTGAACTGGATTCTCCCCAAAAATGTATCAGCTGCAAATGTTTTTTTTATTAATTTTTTTTTTTATTAATTAGTGGATCATGAGATATCTCCCCTAAAAGGAAGAAGCAGGTAAAGGATGGATGGATGGATGAATGGGTGGATGGATGGATGGATGGATGGATGGATGGGAATATACAATTGATTCTAATTAAGGCAAAGTTTTAAAAAGAGATCTAGATCATCTAGCACTTAGAGTACATGTTGGGAACGACTCTACAAACCAAACTGTAGCTCAGTATCTGTAAAAGTTGTTACAGCCCTTTTGGGGTGTTTGATGAGTTGCTTAGTTTTTGCAGTCATCTTGAATAGGATTGTCTCCATGTGTCAGTTCTAGATGTGCATTTAGTGATTACTGAGTGTCATTGAAATCTGTTCTCTGGTTGATGAGATATTTTTCTAACAAATGCACATAGGCTAAACCACAATAAGTTTCCCTTCGGCGATGGGAGATAACAAAAAAGCAAGCTCAAGAAGAAAATAAAAGTTTCAGCCATAAACAACGCGTCCTCAAGAAAATGTTATGCATCACAGATCTTTGTGGATGACATTTGTTTGGGGATGTTTGGAGTTCTTGTGTGTTTTCGGCTGCTCTGTCAGGCTTCCCAGTGCTTTGATAGGAAGCCACATTTAAAGAAGATGGGGGTAAATGAACCATCCGCCTCCTCTTTACACCTTCGACCTCATTCCTTCCTGTTTCACTCCTCAAATCTGCTGGCGACCTAACAAAAGGCGCACATGGAGCAGAATTCTAATGACGAGGCCTCGTCAGATGAGGATGATGAGGGCGTGATGAGGCACACAGAAGTGGCCTTGTGCTCACATTGCTTGATGATGTGGACGATGGGGCCTGACTCTGCATCATAGGTAGAGGATTTGGGTCAACATTCTGTTCAAGATAACATTAACTCAAATTGAATTTTAACAGCTGCATGACAGCCATGTGTTTCCAATGACTCCAGGAACTCCAGCTTCATCCTTATTTTTCTTCCAACTTCCACCTTGATCAATTTTTTTCGTGGACTGTTTTGCTTAACCATGGTTCCTGTCATTACACCGGAAGCATCTTAGAGGATGTATTTATTTATTTTGCGTGACACAGCACCAATTGAAACCTAAATAGGTTTTTTCATAAATACAATGGCCAGCCTCGACAGGATTACCTGGGATATTATATTCTAGCAACCTGATACATGTGATCATTGATAAAGCTACTGGGCAGCTGTCCTCTTGCATAACTTTCAGTTTCACAATTTAGGACCCAGCATGACAGCCTAATTTTTATGCATCAACATCTGTAGTCATCATTGCATGTTCCCATACAATAACTAAATGCATACATGTTGCATGAATTATATGTGAAGGGGACGTGTCCACCTCATATATAAAAAAAAAATCATTTGGAACACCCCCAATTTACCATAAAATATTAGTTCACCCACCACTGTTTTTATTGCTGGGTGAACAAATCCACTCCACTTGATTGAAAAGAGAATACTGAAATCATTAAAAGTCCACCCCATGTTTTCCTGGTTACCAACAACAACTCACCACACCGCATGCTGTGTTTCTCTGAGGTCATCTGCTTTGACAGAGCGCTCATCTCTTTGGGATTTTTTGTAGACGAGTGGAGGAGGGGGAGACACCTCTGTGATGCTCGTTAGCTTTGTGCCGGCAGTTATTGACTGGGGTGGGGAGGTTAGGATATTTGAGAGAAACGGAGCGTGCTCTATTCACACAAGGGGAGCTGTTGGCCAGGCTACTTCTTGTTGTTACATGCTCTCTAAAATAGTTATTGAATCAAGTGTTTACTTATATACGTAAACATGTATGTGCAGGTTTTCTCCAGGTACTCCGGTTTCCTCCCAGAGACCAAAAACATGCATGTTAGGCTGATTGGTAACTAAATTTTCTCTAGGTGTGAGTGAGAAAGTGAATGTTTGTCTCTGTGTCCCTGTGATGGACTGGAGACCTGTCCAGAGTGTCCCCAGTCTCTTGCACAGTGACTGCTGGACATGGATCACCAGTGACCCCCGCGACCTGAATAGGAAGAAGCGGGTAAAGATAATGGATGGATGGTGGACCCCGAGATCCCCCCACCACCACCACCAATGTGCCCTCCCCCCCCCCACACACACACACTAGAAATGCTTCTGACACCAATGAAAAAATGTGTGCTATGTGTTTAACCCATCACACGTGAGATAAACTCTAGTGGAGCAGCAGCCAGCTATTTAAGCACTTGTGGAGCAGTTGGGGATTAGGTGTCTTGCTCACACAACATGCGTACATGGCAGGGAATTGAACCTGCAATTTTCTCATCCCAAGTTGGCTGCCTTACCATATTTTCAATGTGAGCTGAGATTGGACCCTATTTGCTATAGCTACACCATATTGTTTAGTGTTTTGGAGCGGATAAAACACAAAACAACATGGTGGCTTTATGTTTTAATTTTTTTTCAGTTATATCAGCAACCTGAACATAAATGCTAATCCAACACTAACTGGAAAAAGACAACAACAACAAAAAAACTGAAAAGGTCCATCCATTTTTGTCCCAATACTTCACAGAAGGCCCTGCACTTTACACAGCTATGTGTTAAAGTACATGTCATTTCAATTATTTACACTGAAATTTAACAGTAAGTTATGTGGGCATAACACTGTTTCTGTCAAAAATTCATAGTGTAATGAAACCAAAATACAAGAGTAATATTGGGAAAAAAAGAATGTAAACCTAAACAGGATATTTAACTTTAATTTTTTTAGAACAACTACAATTTCAGTGTGAATTTTTGAATTTACAGGTCGTGATTGAATGCATCACAAATCACATGGTCAAAAAAAAAAAAAAGAGCACATTGCAAGGTCTTCCCACAGGCTCAGAGCCCTGTGTTTCAGTCCCTCCTACTCTACATCAGCATTGTGATTGGTTAATTTTCCTGTCAGTTACTGATCAACTCATCCTGCAGAGCCTGTGACTGAGCTGAATCTTCGCTGACAGTGAAGCCATGACCAGTGAGAGCAAGTCATCTGATCTAATATACATATATTGTAGAAAACAAAGATTAAATAAACATTTTAATGTAACATTTCATATGTGCTGATGAATTACCAGTGCCTTTTCTGATGGTGCAAAAGGCACTGTCGGTTCCCCACTGCATAAATATTAGGTCACCATCTGTAACCAATCAAAATCCTCCCCAAATCTCCTATTTGGTGTTGGCTCAAGTCTGCAACGTGTGACACTTTGACCCTGGAGATTGCCTGTGTGTGTGTGTGTGTGTGTGTGTGTGTGTTGAGGGGGATGGATCTGTGTTGTCTGTGTTGAACGCAGGCCCCAGACTGAGGGGCCTTTTTCTCCTGGATACAGTCAGTGAGTGTGTGGTGATGAAGGTGCTGACAGCTGCAGGATGCCAGACAGCAGCTGAGAAAGCATGGAAGGCTGAGCTTCCTCTCAGCCACCCTGCTGGGTGTGTTTGGACAGTGTGGAAAAAACAACATGAATTGTGCATGAATTTGTGACGCATCCATTAACAGATGTGAGTTTGAGCTTGAAGTGTAATAGTTGGTCTGGCTGACTGGCCCTAAGTGTTTAATGATTATAAAGTGTGTGTGTGTGTGTGTGTGTGGGGGGGGGGGGGGGGGGCAAATTTAATAGTCATTCTGTAAAATTGTGTCGTCAGCCATCAGTTTGTGTCCTTGAGTCAGGGCAGCTGCACATCAGTCGTTAGGGACAGAACGTTTACATGAAAGAGTTGTTTCATGCTCCTTTGTTGCAGCATGCAATTTAAAATCTGAACTTGTTTTCGCAGCTTTTTAAATTTCCAATACCATTATCTTAAATAAATGTCCAAACTATGTATTTGTGAATATCTAAAAGGCGTTTACATCATGTCACTTTTGCATCAGGTGGTTATTACAGTGATAGACCGACAGTGTTGGAACATGGTCCACTGTTTGTTGGTTTGTGGCGATGCTCCATATGAACCACGTTGCATATCAGAATGTTGAATGCACCTGTTCAGAGTAACTTGTGCAACTCTGATGCAAAATAAATGCAGTGTCAATATAAAATGCTATCAGATGCATTTATTTTGCACCAGACACTGAACATTTTCTGTTCTGCAATTCTGTGCAGGATCTGCACAGAGGGCTGCACAGTGGTGCTGTTGTTCAGCTCTGTTGCCTCAGCAAGAAGGTCCTGGCTTCAAGGGATATTTGTGTGTGGCATTTCTATGTTCTCCCTCTGCATTCACTGTTATTCACCAAATATGTTGGTTTTCTCTTTCAGACCAAAACATGCACATTAGGGTACTATCTCCCTGGACTGTGACTCAGGGAAACTAGTTTGTGAGTCAACAATGTGATAAAA